GCCAGCCTTCCAGTTAGCAGTCACATGCCTTACACACTACAGCACCAGAGCTCCTTGGTAAAACAAGATAAGAACCACTAATCCAGACCCTTTATATCTCAGAAGATTCTAGACCCATGCAGGAAAAGCATTCACTGCACACCAAGGCTCCACCTATTAAGTCAGAGACAAATTCTCTCCTAACAGCACATGCAAAGTGCTCACAGTAGTCTCTCCCCAGTAACTCATCCAACTGAAAGGGCCTTTGTGTTGATTGCCTCAGGACACAGAGGTCATGTCCAAAGCACCTGTCAGTCTACACCCACACAGAATAATAGTGCTGGGCAGTGTCTGCAGCTTATAGAAGAAAGAAGTATTTGGGATGCCCTGGGCACCTTGCTGCTCATTCTCTCTGACTGCAGCATATTATCCTTTTCAGATGGCTTGATTGGCATGTGGAAATAAGCCAAATAATATCAAATCACCTCAATTTGCTTATGCCATGTAATTCTATGGATAATGTAGTATATAGTACCTGACAAGCTTGTATGTTGTCATTGGGTGCCATGAAGTATATTCTGACTCTTGGCAATCCTATGGGACAGAGTGGACCTACCCTCCAGGGTTTATAGGCTATCATCTTTATGGAAGCAAATAGCCAAGTCTTTCTTCCATGGAGAGGCTGTTGTGTTTGAGCTCCCAGTCTCTGGGTTAGCAACCAACTACTTCAGCGTCATAACACCAGGGCTCCCTACCTGCTTCTATGCAAATGTCTATCCGCCCTTTTCTTTTCGTATGGCACAATTGGTCATTGATCATTTCTGAGAGCCACTGTTACACCTTGCAGGTGTTTTAGCTGCCACCGACGGATTGGAGTCCTAGGGCTCTCAGGACAAACGGTGAGCAGAAGACTGAAGGCTGCCGTCACTGCACTTTTACCTCGAGCACTTTCTAGCAGATGTTGCATCTTGGTTTGCTACTGTATTTTAAATATTTTCTTTTCTTTTTCGGTATTCATGAAACCAGTCTTTTCTCCTTGTCTAATGAAAGCACCATCTGTTCCTTCTTGCTCAATCAGAGCAGCCACCTCAGGAGTCTAACGTGAACACGTAACACATTAGAAGACCATCCGGGTAGACTGTGCTGCAGTCACAGCTCCCATTTGTATGTGAGATGAGTTTTGCTAACAATTCAGAGTTAGAGCGATGTGAGAGAAATATCTTGAACCAATTTAGTCAGGAAAATAATTAAGACCAGGAGCTTGAATATGGTTTCAAAGACATTGGTTTTAAGTTATAAGATCTTTGTGGAAATACTGGTTTCCTTTTTTACTATAAGTTGAAATGTTTCTATCATTACAAATGCTGAACAACTGGAGCTGTGTTCGTTTGATTGGTTGATTCTGTAAGAATTCAGGCCTTGAAGCAGACAGGTGTGAGTTCCAATCCCCGCCTCTGCCATTTCCCAGGGCAGGAGGCTCAGCCTTTGTTACCCTCGGGTCCCTCATCTATTTGATGGGGCAATTTTTCTGTTGAAATTTGCTGTGAAATTCAAGTGAAATCACACACATGGCAGAGGAACGAGCACTTGGAGTTACAGTGTGTGCACGCTCACTCCCATAGCTCACAGGGCTGGGTTTTTCCCTGGAGAAAGTCCTGGGCTGTAATGGTGTAACACGCGGAAGATTTAAGGAGAGCTTTGTGTGTTTGTTTGTGTTTGAGCATTTGGGTCATTCTTGCTGCATTTAGGAAAGAACTCATTATACTTGGGAGTCATTCCTATCACAGATGGCAGAGCCGTGCGTCTTGATGAATGCCGTTGAGTTTTCAACTAGTAACTGGAGTTAGATGGATGAAAATCCCCATGAGCACGGAGCTGCTGTAGCTGCCATTGGTGACGTGGCTTCCATCTGGGGCCAGATTCTTTTAGTAATTAAGTTCCATGAAAAAACATAATAACCTCTTTCTACTATCTGATTGGGATAATGGAGTTTAGCTATGAGCAATACAGTTGGTGAAATTCTATTTAGAAATGAATTGCAGAGTGAAGAAATGTTCATAGGGATTTCCAGCTTGGTCTTCTGGTCTACTGTCTAATGAAGAAAGACCCCTCTTCTGGAGGCATTATTCAGGGACTTCCTCTGGGAGTGGGATATTCATGATGAGATTTGGGACTGAACATTTGTAACGTGAAGTCTTTGGGACACAGGCCCCAAACTGCATTTCAGAGCAGGGCACATCAGCAACCCAGTCCAAACCAGGCCCTCAGCTGAGGTTGTGGGCTGCCATCCAAGTGCCCTGACTCAGGATGACCCCATGCATAACAAACGGTTGGGACCCACGGTGGGTTCATTGGCTAATGTTCGGAAATAGATTGCCAGGCCCCAGGATATATTCTCGATGCTATTTCTGCCCTTCCCTGGGCTCTGTTATGCCTCCTTTGGTCCAGTGGGAGTAGAACCATTGATGGACTTCAAGGAAGATGAGGTGCCAGTGCTGATCTTGAACAGCACTGATTCATCCTTGTAGATGACATGGTCTCGTGTCTACTCATAAAATGCTGACTTCATTGGTATGAAAAATGGCTGATCCATCAAGAAAAAAAGCACCAGTCTTTTTTGTCATCCTCCCAGGTTCTGGGCTGAACAATGGGCAGTGGCATGAGGTCCGTTTCTTGGCCAAGGAGAACTTTGCTGTCCTTACCATCGATGGTGATGAGGCGTCAGCTGTCCGGACCAACAGTCCCCTCCAAGTTAAAACCAGTGAGAAGTACTTTTTTGGAGGTAAGAATGCCACTTGTCAAATGGTTAATGAAAATATTGGCAAAATGGAGTCTTGATGACATTTGAAAAGTTGAGAAACCAATTGTCACAGATATCTTGGGTCTTAAGTAATGAGAAGATTATAACAGCAAACTCAGCTATGTGTGAAGGGGTATTAAGCCAAAAACGTGGTGAGGTTGGTCAATTTTAGAAAGGAAGCCTGCCAGAAAATGGTATCTTGTCATATTAAATCATTTTGTTGCTGTGCCAGATGTGTTAGTTAGAGGACTGTGTCTTCTACTAAATGACTTTCCATCCTAAAACCTACAAGGTGAAACCTACACTCATGCTTCCACCCCTACAAGACCTTGGGTTCAGCTTGAACAGGTATACGTGTACATTTACTTGCCTAGGAACATCTTTCTATTAATGTGCAAATATCCATTTACCTTCATTTGAAGACGTGTTTATGTATCACCATGTACTTTTTTCTAGGTACTAGAAGGTAAGTCTGTATGAGAGTTGCCATCGTGTCTACTCTCATTAGACAAATATGTTCCCTCCTTGTGTTCCCAAGGTCTCAGAAGAATCCCTGGGAGGCAGTAGGTTATGGGTATGCCCTTGTGAATGGATTAGTACATTCTGTAAAACAGGCGAGGCAAACAGCACGTTCCCAACTATGTAGATGAAGAAACAGAAGCTGGAGAAGCCTTCCTTGTTTGACCCTGACTGTGGAGCAAGCCAATGAGTTCCAGATATCTGACCCCCAGGGCATCCACTCCACCCCAGCCCCCAGCACCCTCCATCACAATATGATAATGAGTGACATCTCAGAGACAGAAGTTGTAAACTAGACCTCTGCTCCTTGGATCCCTCATGGTTGTGGATAATACAGTGACATGAGGAGTAGTTACTTGATAAGTGGTTGGAAATCAGACAGAGTGTCTGCATGCAAGCAAATAAGTGAGGGCCTGTTGCCGTGAAAAGCAACATAACAGCCAAATTGCTACTCCTCCAAAAATAGTATTTAACTTGAGGGGCCTCTGGCTTGCAGCTTCCCTTGCTGTCACAGAGAACACATCCCAGTGGTCTGTTGGAAAGTGGTCAGTGGCTACTTCCCATGCATGTGACTCAGGGCTATCTCTAGCCATGAACTGTCTTGTTGAATGCCCAAGGCCAGTGTGGCTCAAATCTAGCAGTGGGAGGACACCACTTCCTCTTGGACATAGGAGTCCCTGGGTGGTGCGGATGGCTAAATGCTCATCTGCCAAGGGGATGGTGGGGGTTCACCCTGTGGAGCACAGTTTCTGCCCTGAAATACAGCAGAGGCAAGAGTCAAGGGCCACACAATGCCAACTGGTTTATGTATTTGTTTTTTTAAATGCAAGAGGGGGTTAAGTGCTGGAGGGAGAGCGCAGTCTTTGACAATGCCTACATCCAGTACTGAACAACTGGTAGCTTCACTTGATTGTCACACAGTACCCAGTTTTACTTATCACATGACATCAGCAAATGTTGCAAATCTGTTTGGAGCCATTTACCCTGAGGATATTGTTTGGACAACTCGTTTCAGTGGACAGTTTGTTTTCTCAGTTTTCCTTTATCCATCATCCTCACCTAAAGCTTTTTAGAACATATTTTAGACTAGTAAAATCAGTTGAAAAAGATATTTACAATGAATAAGTTGTTGGTCTTGCAAAATTCTATCATGCAATCTCTAGTGTCATTTCTATCACCAAGGCCATGTTTTCCAGCTACCAGTGATTCTTCTTTGTTTCCAACTTTTGCATTCCAGTCACCAGTAATAAACAACACGTCTTGATTCCATGTTTGGTCAATTTTCATATTTTTTTCAACAACATAAACAGTGGCTATACATGTGGACCTTGCCAGATGGAATACACAGGAATCACATTGACTACACCTGTGGAAAGAGGTGATGGAGAAGCTCAATATATTCAGCCAAAATAAGGCCAGGAGCTGACTGTGGAACAGACCATCACTTGCTCGTGTACAAGTTCAAATTGAAGCTGATGACAATTAAAGTAAGTCCATGAGAACCAAAATTCAACCTTGTTATATCCCACCTGAATTTAGAGACCATCTGAAGAGTAGATTTGAATTATTGAGCACCAGTGACCAAAAACCAGATCAATTGTGGGAAGAAATCAAGAACATCATATATGAAGAAAGCAAGATGTCATTAAAAAGACAGGAAAGGAAGAAAAGACCAAAATGGATGTCAGAAGAGACTCTGAAACTTGCCCTTGAACAGGCAGTAGATAAAGCAAATCTAAGAAATGACAAGATAAAAGAGCTGAACAGAAGATTTCAAAGAGCAGCTGGAGAAGACAAAGTCAATTATTGTAATGAAGTGTACAAAGACCTGGAATTAGAAAACCAAAGGGAAGAACACACTTGGCATTTCTCAAGCTGAAAGAACTGAGGAAAAAATTTAAGCCTCAAGTTGCAATATTGATACATTCAATGGACAAAATATTCAGTGATGCAGGAAGCATCAAAAGAAGATGGAAAGAATACAGAGGCACTGTACCAAAAAGAATTGGTTAATGTTCATCTATTTCAGAAGGTAGCATATGATCAAGAACCAATGGTGTTGAAGGAAGAAGTTGAAGCTGCACGGAAGGAATGCACAGAACAAGGCTCCAGGAATTGACGGAATACTCATTGAGATGTGTCAACAAATGCATGCCCCACTGGAGGCACTCATTCAGCTATGCCAAGACATTTGGAAGAGAGCTACCTGGCTAACTGACTAGAAGAGATCCATATTTGTACCCATTCCGAAGAATGGTGATCCCACAGAATGTGGAAATTATCAAGCAGTGTCATTAATATTATACACAAGTAAAATCTTGCTGAACATAATTCAAAAACAATTGCAGCAGTAGATTGACAGGGAACTTACAGAAATGCAAGCTAGATTCAGGAGAAGACATGAAGCGAGGGATATTATTGCTGATGATGGATCCTAGCTGAAAACAAAAAATACCAGAAAGATGTTTACTTGTGTTTTATTGACTGTGAAAATGCATTCGATTGTGTGGATCATAGCAAATTATGGATAACATTGAGAAAAATGGGACTTCCAGAACACTTAATTGTGCTCATGAGGAACCTGTACCTAGACCAAGAGGCTGTCGTTCAAACAGAACAAGGGGATACTACATGATTTTAAATCAAGATGGGTGTGCATCAGGGTTGCATCCTTTCATCATACTTATTCAATATATGCTTAGCAAATATTCCGAGAAGCTGGACTATATGAAGAAGAATGCAGGATCAAGATTGGAGGACCACTCATTAACAACCTGCAATACGCAAAGGACATAACCTTATTTGTTGAAAGTGAAGGTGACTTGAAGCACTTACTGATGAAGATCAAAGACTACAGTCTGCAGTATGGATTACACCCCAACATAAAGAAAATGAAAATCCTCACAACTGGGCCAAAAGCAGCATCACAATAAATGGCAAAAAGATTGAGGTTGTCAAAGACTTCATATTACTTGGTTCCACAATCAACACCAAGGAAGCAGTAGTCAAATCAGATGACAGATGACATATTGCACTGGGAAAATCTGCTGCAAAAGACCTCTTTAAACTGTTGAAGAACAGAGATGTCTCTTTGAAGAATAAGGTGTACCTAACTAAAGTGATGGTGTTTTCAATCACCTAATGTGCATGTGAAAGCTGGAGAATGAATAAGGAAGACCAAAGAAGATGTGATGCTTTTGAGTTGTGGTGTTGGGAAAGAATACTGAAAATATCTAATAAATCTGTTCTGGAGAAAGTGTAGCCAGAATGTTCCTTGGAGGCGAGAATGGTCAGACATTGCTCATGTCGTCAGAAGGGAACATTCCCTGGAGAAAGATACCATGCTTGGTAAAGTGGAGGGTCAGTGAAAAGGGGGAAGGCCCTCAACGAGATGGATAGACACAGTGGCTGCAACGATGGGCTGAGATATAGTAAGGACTGTGAGGCTGGTGTGGGACTAGACAGTGTTTCATTCTGCCATAAGTAGTGTTGCTATGAGTCAGAGCCAACTTGATGGCACCTAACGATAGCACAACACGTTCTTGCCTTAACATCAACTTCAAGGTCAGAGGTACACTTGGAAGACCTTATTGTTGTTGTTGTTAAATACCATCAAGTGGATTCCGAATCATAGTGACCCTATGTACAACAGAATGAAACACTGCCCGGTCCTGCACTAGCCTCACGATCCTTGCTGTACCTGAGCCCATCATTGCAGCTGCTGGGTCATTCCATTTCCTTAAGGGCCTTCTCCTTTTTCATTGACCCTCCACTTTACTAAGCATGATATCCTTCTTCAGGGAATGGTCCCTTCTGACAACATGACCAAAGTAGGCCAAATGAAGTCCAGCCATTCTCACTCCCTCTAGGATTTGTTAGTTCTTCTGGCAGCCCATGGTATTTTCACTATCCTTCACTAACACCACAACTTTTTCTTTTGTAAACATCTCTAGTTTTTCCTCATAGGAATTTTGGCATAGTACTTAAGGCTTTTGACTGCTAACCAGAAGGCTAGTGATTCAAATCCACCAGCCACTCTTCAGAAGGAAGACTGGACAATCTACATTTGTAGAGATACCTCCTCAGAAATCCAAGGAGGGGTCACTATGAGTCTAATTGAGTCGATGGCATTAAATTTGGTATTTTGAGTTTTCTAAAACTTATTTTTCTGTTTTAAGATTATATTGTGCCTTAAAAAGGAGCATTTTCTTACTTTATCATTTGCTTATCAAAGAAAATATTCTCTTACTCTACTTCTTGAAAGGTCAACGTTAACCTGCCTTTCTGGTTTACCGTACTTTGTCTGTCTGTAAAGCCCTACTTTGCTGAACAAAGATGACCTCATCTGCAGGATGACAGACACCCAGTTGGGAAGGGTGGCATTCTTCTCTGTACATGTCTGTGCATGGGCTCATGGGTGGGAGGCACGCTCAGGAGTGACAGAACATCAACATCTCAAAATG